TACATTCTTGGAAGTGGCTAAAAGCTAAAGATCTTGATTTTTACTATCCGTTCTCTTGTTGGTCAGGGGAACCTGCTGCATGTCTTAATCTTTATTAAGTTAACTGTTTATGGGTTGGACTCTGGAGTACCCCTTGTACTCGCTTTTAATATATTTCATTTTGCCTAGCAAAAAATAATATATATATATATATAGAACCGTTTATTTCAAGAGTAAGTCTACCTAAACTTACTCCGTTCAATAACTCATGTTTTATATCAAATTTCAACGATCCAATCGTTGAATTTAAAGTTCTTAATACATAAATTAAATCTGTAAAATTTTAAAAAATTTGAATATTATTTGATACTTCGTTTTATTAATTCAAATTAATGGATAATCATAAAAATATATCATATGCCAATTTGAATTAATGAAACTAAGTATCAAATGATATTTAAATTTTTAAAAAATTTGTGAATTTGATTTATGTATTAAGAAATTTAAATTCAACGATTAGATTATTGTGATTTGATATAGACTATGAGTTATTGAACAGAGTAAGTTTATATAGACTTACTTTTGGAGTAAACAGATCTCTCATATATATATATATATGTATATATAAATTCATAATATCTTTCAACAGGAGTGAATGACTAATTTTTCCGGAAAAAAAAAAATCAAGTGTAGCCTTTGCTAAAATTTCTCACATGTATTATACCTTGATACAACCAACGAAATTTAGTTCAATTAGTTAAATAGAGTATAAGTTGTTGCAACTCCTTGTATTAAATTAGGGATGACAAATAAATTTGTACCTATAGATAATACCTGAACCTATCTTGACTTTGACGGGAAATACTTGGTTTGACTAGTTACAGGTACGGGTAAAACTCGATATGTTAAATCAGGTACAGGTATGGGTATATACATACCCGCCCTGTACCCATACACGTACCCGTCCCAATTGAATTATGTTAAAAAATTTAATATTTTATTATGTGTAATTATTTATTATAATGTGAAATATTTATAATTATTTAATTATTAAGAAATCTCTTGATTAAAATATGAGATAGAGAAACAATTTAATTATAATTATAATATAATGAAAAAATAACTTAAAAATATTGTGTATTTTTTTTGCAAAATAAATAATAATAATGTTTTATGGGTACAGGTACGGATATACCCGATACCTGACAGGGACGAGAATGAGGACGAAAATTATATACCCGACGAATACAAATATGGGTACAGGGATGAGTTTGAGTCGCGGGGACGGGAACGGGTATCATGAAACCCGTACTGACCCGTCTCGTTGCCATCCCTATACTAAATTCAACTTTTACCGTAAAAAAAAAAAAAGAAAAAGAAAAACTTGATGTTATATGATATGGAATAGCCTGGTAAAAGACAAATGGGTCACTTTCAAAATGCATATCCTTACTACACCTGTCAACGCGAAACAAAGGGTAAAAAGCTTCTTTATAATTTCTGATTCACAGTGACAATCTTAAAGGGACATGAAAATCTCCTTTAAAGTTAAAACAATCAAAATTGACAATCTTTTCTTCGTCTACGAGTTCTAGTGAAGAATTTGTTTTTGGTTATTATTGCTACCTTTCAATGGTTAACCAATATGCTTGATTATCATACTTTTTGTATACATTGGTCAGTTCATGATGAAAGAGGTAATTCATACACTGTTGCAAAAGGGACATGGCCCTCCAAAACCTTCCCCCTATTTCCACAAGACCACAATATATGTTAATAACTTTAAAGAGCTTATCCATGATTACAATGCTCGTTTTAAAAATTTTCTCGAGCTTATAACCTAAGGTTTGACCCCTTTATGATAATGAATCGTTTGGTACTAGCTCCGGTCTATATTAAATTAAGAAAATTATATATGAATCCACAAAATTATTGATATTTTAAGATAAGTTTGTCACGTTTTTAAATTTTTATCACTAAAAGTTAGGTCGCCTTTGAAACATAAATCTCCACTGTTGGCGCTAAAAACGATTATCTTTCTTCAAGTGTTTTCACTAAAAGATTTGGATCCTTAATTTCATATCATGAAAGAGAAACAAAAATCAATTATAATGAGACTCCTTATTATTTGTGTAAGACCCATTAATTTTATGTTTGTTTCTCTCTCTTGTAACATAACATTGTAATGTTTCTTATTAACATAAAATGATCATTAATTATCCTTCCATTAAATAAGAAAATGCCACGGAGATGCAATGCTGCGCTATTTGCTTGAGTGTCACATTAATGCCTTGAAGCATATACCCATTTGATACATATTATTGGTCCAAGGCAAAAATGCTGATGGCCTAAACCTACCCACTTGCACTTTTATTATATGAAAAAAAATAACAAACAATTAATAAATGAAATATGTAAAACAGATATGGTGAGACCAATGTGAACAATGTTTAGGAAGCCTTGTACAGAGGACAGTATCTTGCACCATGATTTGTTGGAATCAATAAAAAATTTAAAGAGAAAAAATACCAAACATGATTTGGAGACACCAAACCGATTATTATGTATCAGATTTCACAACCTTTATTATTATGCAGGTCCCCAAAGCTTATGCAATAATGACACATGCAGATTTTGTGTAAAAGAATATACTGAACTTGCATCAGACAAAGCACTGTAAAAACCCTGCACATTGTTGTGTACTTGACTGTCCCTAAAACACCATGGCATCTGCATTTGCCCCTAAGTTCCTTCCTCACATACCAATTTCATGAGGGTCTCAGATATTTAGATTCACTGAACTGTTCTGGTAGATAATAATAAATTTATTAGCAAGTAGTAGTGGTAGTAGTACTTTTTGGATGGATGGTTTTGTTTTTATCATGGGGGAAGAATGTGGAGAAAGCAACTCTTGGCTCATTCATGTCCTTCACAGCAACAAAAGAACGAATAGTTATCATAAAAAAAAAAAAAAGAACGAATAGTCCCCACCAATGAGAGTCCAATGTTTTAAATAAAAGGGAGAATGTTCAAAAGCCATGGTACAAAACCTGAATATGGTACCCCCCACAACTTGCAAAATATGAACCATTATTGAGATTGAATTCCTTCAACTACTATATTTAAAACATGTCCTAACATTAGAATATTCGGACCCCAATAAATAACAATTGATGGCGGCCATATTGATCTTACTAGCAGTATATTATAGCAAAGTGTAGTCCCCTACACGAGTCATGTTTGAACAAAAAACAGTCCTTTCCTCATTTAATATTTGAGCCAAAATCACCCAGCACCTCACATGGCTTACATACACTGACATTATGCAGAGATGTTTACACATGTGAATCAGAAGAAGAAAATTTCAAACATTGGGGCTATCATAGTTTAAGCAATTTCAGATTCACAAGGGTCAAGGATCTACAACAATGTTATGTTACCTCTCTTGTCTTAACTCAACGAGGCATTGTTCATCCCAAGATATGGACAATTTATTGAGCAAAACATACAAAATAATAATTATGTTATGTCAACATTTTTTTCTTTCCATATTATATATATATATAGAAGCTGACAACCTATGGAGGCCCTTCTTGGGCGTGGTCCCATAGGTCATAGTTACTAGTGTTTCTAAGTTGACAAAGCAAGGTTAATGTGCCGTAACTTATAACAGTGACAAGAAAAATATTAAAATTCTAAATCAGTAATTAAGCATAGATAAAACATTGGATTGATTCTCGTTAATTTTAAAATAATATTTGATTAATAGAGATGATATCCTACGAATGTAAATTAATTTTGGATTATCAATTTTAAATTACAATGTGATTAACGTCCATAAACAAAGAGAGATAAAGCATCCTCTCTAAAGAATATGAATTATATAGTAATGTGAAAATTCATGTGTATTCATCACTAAGTAGCAAGGATCATGGAGAGAAATTGTGATTCAAAAGCATCTTTGATATCCCTTGTTGTCGAAGTACTCAAGATACGCACAAAAATTTGCTCCATAAATCAATGAGGATTGCTCAAATCTATCATTTATTGTTCATAAAACAGTTTGAGCGAGCTCCGTATCAGATCTTGAATTAAAGTTTGCTCCACATTGAAGAATAAAGACCCTTGCAGTCGTCTCAAAAGATTTATTTATCTCAATATGTTAATACTATTAAAATTACGAATAATGGTTCACAATGATTTGGTCAAACCCACTTTCAACAGCACTCAAAGGATAAAGTTATAAGGGCCTAGCATCCTACCAAAGTTCTCTTGCAATGGTTGCACACACATATTTTATACAATCATAAATCAAACAATATCAATTACTATTTGCCACGGAATAGGTCACTTTGAAATTGCATTCGAGAAAAGTTGTGCAACGGGGACAATACCTATTTAATTATCTATTATATTTATTGATTTATTTCCCACGGAAGATAATGGTGCCATCTTTGCCATGCCATGCCATGCCACTAGTACAAAGTAACGATTCCATAAGCAAGTGAAAATTTGGCAACATGTTAATTCCTAGAATTTTCTACCTTCACCTTTGTGTAACCTGGATAAGATGGTGCTGTGTTCTTTGTTCAAGGTCCACTCAAAAGAATCTTGTTCAAACGCACGCTTTGATTACCAATTCTTATATTACTATTATTTTGATATTTTTGGTTAGTAAGTAGCATAGATAATACGTAAGAGGCATTTGTCTTACCTTAAATCTAATGTTTGACCGCGTCGACATCGCCGAACATATCCGTCCAATTTTGCTCCATCTTCTCATCTCTCCACGTGGCGTTTGCACCAATTCTAGAGGCCAGTGCCGGTGCCAATCAGTGTTGCCCAATATTAAAATAATTAACCACCAAGTCGAAACATTATCTTACTAGATTCACAATTATTAACAAAAGAAAAAAAAAAAAAAACGTTCACAATATTTTTGTCACACCCCAATATGCATTTTAAGGTCAAATATCTTTGGCTTAAATTGACCATGACCACCCTATCATAAGTCTAATAAACATGTTAGTTGGGAAGGGACTAATTAAAGAGGCAAGACTCTACGAAATAAGAACCTGTTTTTACTATATTTGTGGGGTGCTAGAAGGAGCTGTATAGATAGAGACATTTGCTTACTACACTTCCTTCCCTCTCTTCATTCATATTCATCCATTCTCCCTTATCTCTATACCATTTTTTTTTTCCTTCTTGAATCTCTCTTGCTAGAAGATAAGTTAAGAGATGGGGAATTGCCAAGCTGTTGATGCTGCAGTGCTTGTGATCCAACACCCTTGTGGGAGGATAGAGAGGTTGTATTGGCCAGTAACTGCAAGTGAAGTCATGAGGACTAACCCGGGTCACTATGTGTCTTTGATAATACCATTGCCTGTGCCACCACAGGACCAGAATCGGGAGCAGAAAACGGTGCGTTTCACCCGGGTTAAGCTGCTCCGGCCTAATGAGACTCTCAACCTTGGCCATGCTTATAGGCTCATCACTACTCAAGGTATATATATATATTAAATTGTCATGCCATCAGAATCAGATCTTTCTATTGTACTTTTTTGACCACTTTGGATGGATAAACTTTCATAAACTAAAATTAGTTTATACATGAGCTAATTTGTAAAAGTTCTACTTCAAAAATTTACAAATTCGCTTATCCATAAACTAGTTTTAGCTTATTTCATTTTTTTTAATAATATCTGGAGAAGTTTATCCAAACATGCAGCTAGTGTAAAAGGGTCAATTGCTTGGAAGTGTGTGTGTGTTTGTGGTTTGATGTAATTCTAAGACCTTGTTTTGTTTCTGGTTTTAGAGGTTATGAAAGTGTTGAAAGCAAAGAAGCATGCAAAGACAAGGAAGCCACAGGCTGAGCATACTTTGCAGCCGGAGAAACAGAGTTCAGCTTGTGAGGCACACACAGAAGGGGAGTCTACACATCAGGTATGTGTATGTCAACACTCCTTTTCCTCTTTCCCCTTTAATTAACTATTATTCCATGAATAATATTGTACTAGAAGTTGTTATTTTAGGCCTTCTTAAAAGTGAATCCACAGAAGACTTTGATCTATGTAGCACTTCACATCACATGGCACATGGTCTATAGATGCTGAATCTCTCTAGTGTATAGGATATATATATATGTCCTTTAAGTAAACATACATATATCTATACCAGTATGTCAAGCAATCCTTGCCAAAACAAGGCCAGAAGGTTATAATTATATGAAAGTATGAAGCACTAGCGCGCCTTTGTATTTCTTTTGAAACTAGAGAAAATGAGTGATCATAGCCAAATGAAATATAATCCAATACTTTGACCCCATGATTTTACTAGAAACTATGTTTGACACACACCACTTTTATCTTCAATTTTGGAAGTTTGCATCCTCATCATTAATTAGCATTGATGCTAAACAGCATAATGAATTCCAGGGAATGAGAGCAGAGAGACAAAGGCCGAGAGCGGCTTCAGCAAATCCGGCTGTAGTGAGGTCAAAATCCTGGCGGCCTTCATTACAGAGCATTTCTGAGTCAACAAGTTGATTGGTGCAAAACTGTGACATGCATATTGGCTCATACATTATTATCTGGTAGCCTCTATAATGCAAGATGTTCCTACTGGATCATTCCTGTTACATGGGCATGGAAATTCAACACATGTTTGAACCAAGATTTCTCTTTCATCACCAATCACACCCTCAACTTCAAAGCCATGCTTCAGTGATAACATGTTTGTATAGCACCAACAAGAAGAAAAAAGAAAAAAGAAAAGAGTAATGAATGTAAAAATATGTTAGAAGTGAGTTTTGTGATTGATATAGTTACAGCAGCAACGTCTTCCTTTTATTGTGTTTAGCAAATAAGCAATTCCTACGTACAAAACGAAGGGAACTTTTTTACAAAAGAAAAAAGAAAAAAAAAAAAAGCAGCATATGAAGTGGAAATTATATTAGTTGAGTTCCAAACTTTCAAAGTCTTTTAACACATTTTTGATCCGTAATAGTGACGCTCTTGCTGCCAGAGTTGCTCCTGGTAATTCTTTTCTTTAGAGAAACCAACGCGCATGGCTCCAACAAAGATGTGCCAGGACCTCCATAATCCTTCTTGAGTAAAATCTCACAAATATCTGTTATTCAATTAAGACTGGTTAAAATTATAACTCAAAGCTCAAATCAGAATTTAACTATGAATAAATCTTAATGATAGTATTATTTTTCAATCAAAATTGAATTTTCTTATTATGCAAATTATTGAAATAAAATTTCAATTCTGATTGGAGAATAATATTAATTGTATCTAAGTTTTTTCCTTTTTTAAGTATTCTACTATTTGTTTCAAGGCTCCAGCATTAAAGGATAGGTGGAACGTCAAAACATTGTCAGCTTTGGACTAAGCATGTCATAAAATTTGAAATAATTTGATAGAGGTTCTCCCAAAAATTATGCTGACTTTGTAGTAAATTTTTGTTGGGGGTCAATTATTGTACAATTCACATCAGTTCTGGCCTACTGATTGAAAAGAGGGTAAAAGAAATTTCTTTTATTGCAGAAGAAAATAAATACACTGCCAGATCATTATAGGCAGCTGAAATAAGGAATGTTTTGCTATAATTGAAGTGTTACGAACACACATATCTGATCATGGCATGGCCCATATTCTCCATTAGTTAAAAGAGATCGATAACAGATACAAGACAATTCATTTTCACTAAGTCTTCATAATATAACACCATGAAGTCAAAAACCACCCTTTTATCATTTATGCACCAGGAACGTGAAACAAGCGATCTTATAATCAACTTGGTCTCTAATATATGTACCAGTAAAATCCAATGCATTCACAGATGCAAAAGCTGATGTCAAATCAAATTAATTATAATAAATCATAATATTTTAACAGCTAAGTCTTGAGTCGACCCTTAAGCCATGACTAAACTAGCAAGTAGGGAATAAACCAGAAATCTATCATCACGTTAGGCAGGGTCCACGATGCATATGTAGCAAACAATAATTACTAGTATGGGCCTGCTATATCGAGAACCAACCAAGAACAACATCCTAATACAAACCAACATGCAAACTGAACTCTCATGAAAACTGTAATAGTTGTTACCATTGTATTATTCTTTTGTAAGGTACCCAACTGTTTTTGTGATGTTTTATCTCAATACATGCTGGATAAATAAAGAAATAAGGCCATATAACTCATTTCCTATCTTTTCATATGTCAACATTTTTTTTTCATGAATATAATAATCACAGTGTCCCAAAATTATTAGTTAAAGACTAATCTATATTTAGGGTGCATGACTTACATTGGCCAAGAATTATTTTTATACTCATGGAAGTCTCCCAGAGCACACCTAAAGGTTTGAGCAGTTCTAATCAAGACGTCTAAGGTCTACTACTTCATCTTTTCAACCATCCAAAGAATTGTATATCACCTCAACCTCATGAGTCATGATTAGACCCAAATCAGACAATCTATCTCCTCCGATTGAGACCTAAAATAGACAACCAGGTAAACCTACCTTGGGATTTTTTTTGCAATCATTAAGGAAAATTAAGTAATTATATCATCCTGTCGACTAAGGACCACAAATCAAATCTGCAATAAATTCTGAATTACTCTGAAAGGCAAAAGAAAAAGTCCTTATAAAATAAAGGCACATGCAAATGGGACCTATATTGTGACTTATCAATAAACAATTGTGATATTCTGATTAATGTAACGCGATTTCTTCTAGGAAAAGAATGTTGGCCACAAACATTAATGAAAAAATTCCTTTAGATATACCAATATTGGCCACAGATTTATGAAATGAGAATGTCCTTAAGGTGGGTATGGCAATCAATAAGGGTATTATCAGTGAATTAAAGGCAGGTCTTTCAAAATCAATTTAGGATTCCTCATGATAATTATAGTAATTGAATTCTCTGTCCCCATTTTCCGCTCTCTTTGACGGCACTAAATTGAAGCTTAAGCATATGAGTATTATGATTTAGAAGAAACATGAGGTGATGAACAGAACCCTTGACTAGTGATCAGCATTCATTTCTAAACATAATGCTTGAAAAGATGAACACATCATATGTTTATTGACTAGAATATGAAAGTTGACTTTTGTTTTCAATTTAGATGTTGAAGATCACAGGGAGACTCATTATATACAAGAGATTAATTACTACTCTCCAATAAAGTTCACAGGAAAACTAGTCAAAAGCAGATTTTCTTGTTACATGCTATCAAGAAAGTTCACTAACTGCATAAACACTTCCTGCCAGCATAGCCCTTGTTCTAGTACTTAGTATGCGAAAGGTAGAACTATGGATATGTTTGAGTAAACTTCTCCATAAGTACATTTAAGAGAAAAAAATAGAAAGAAAAAATGAAATAAACTTCTTCGTGAGATGAAATTAGCTTATATATAAGTTAATTATTAGAAACTCTCTCCTATTAGTTTCTTCAAAAATCTTATTTATAATTCATTCATAAACTAGTTTTAACTTAGGAAAAAGTTTATTTTATTTTTCTTTTTTATTTTTCTCTCCTAGAAATGTTTTTAGAGAAGCTTATCCAAACAAACTCTTATTTTCTTTAGGTAACACCAAAATCAAAGTAGGAAAAAATGTAGTTCACATTAGGAAGCAGGTGCATGCTGCGCCTAGTGATTTCCCATGGAAATCTATATGAACATAAAACTGTTTAACAAAAATAGTCACTGTCTCCTTTTCTGCTGATTGGTGAAAGGATGAGTGATTATCATGCAACCAAAAACTCTTCAGATCCAGCCTACAAGCTTGTGGACAGAAAGATATTAGCATAAAAAAATAATTAAAGAGAGTCAATAAAAGGTTCAGAAAGATATTAGCACAAGAACAATAGTATTTCACAAAAAAGGACAACGGACATCATCAACATGTGAGATAGCTTGAACCAGATTTCCCACAACAGACTTTTCACAACCAAGGTCCACAAGATTCATTCAGTAGCATCTATAAAACAGAATTTTCCTGGACAAGATTCTATACACTGGTTTGTGAGAAATAATTGACACAAGTAACACATATACTTAAGCCCCTTAATCTTGTGACTAACTTGAGGTTGGAGGGATAGATTCAACAAAACAGGATATTAGATCCAATTTTATGGAGCACCGGATTCATTTACATATATTACTTTGACTTAAGTAGCGAATAACTAAAGGTTTAATTATCTTTTGGTGATTATAGTTTTATGAACTTTACTTTTTTACTTTTAGTTCAAATAATTAAAAATATTTTATTTTAGTTTATATATATATATAGATGATTTTTGTTTTCTTTTAGTTTATATAGTTTTGTATACTTTATTTTTTAGTCTTTATTATTTTATAGACTTTATTTAATCTGATTCTTACAATTTTTATATGAGGAAACATATAAAATGAACATGCTTTTAAAAGTTAGAAGCATCTTATTATATAAAATAAAAGCTCTATATATAAGTTAATTAAATTGAGGAAAATATTATAAATTTATACTTGAGTTTTGCGATTTCTATACGAGCAAGCATATTTTTTTTTTTCGTTTCTGGAATATTTACCGCTGATAGAGGCAGGATTCGAACTCCTGACCTTGCTTAAGTGTGAATCAACCTCTATCGCTAAACTACACGTTTGGCAACACTATATATATATATATATATATATATATATATATAACTTTTGTTTCCTTTTAATTCTTAATAGTTTTATAAACGTCACAATTTATCTAAAAATAATCCCAAAATAATATGTACTGGGATTAAAATTTAAAAGTGAATAATTTTAATTATAGAAATTAAAAGCTAAAGTTTTTGAAATTATGGAGATGAAAATAGTCATTAAACCATAACACTTAAAGTTCATCCCAAATCTTGTCTATATACATGGAAAATGTGGCCTTTTCTATCCTATTTTATTGTTTGGACTATGTTTAGTGAAGCTTCAGTTGAAATACTGAACAAAGGTGAAGGCAGCAGTGTCTCCAACTAGAATACTAGTACCAATTATCAGAATAAGACAGTGTAGTCCAGCTGCTACAGTTCATCAATCTATTATGGTGGTCAAAAAAATTAATAAATTATGAACATTTAGAATTTAATAACTACATTTTTATTATTAACTACTTACACTTTATTATTCTATCAATACAATATCTTCCTTATAAAGAGCTTGGTATCCCTATTTTGCAGAACTTATGAGGTGTCAGAAGAAAAGAAGGATGAAACAACTCCTTTCCAACCACACTACATTGGGTGTGACAACTGCATAGGAATCTCCGGCAACGACACCAAAAAATTTGTTATCTTCTTGACAAATGTACTAATTTGTACAAATAGTTTATTATGAGTATGAGTATTGTTTTTTAAGAGATTTATGCAATATTTGACACAAATCATTAATTATACTAAATTAAATTATCGGGAATGAAAAATTTGATTAATTGGAGAAATAAATGAAGTGTTGAAATAAAGATAAGTGTGATAAAAAAAAATTAGTACTTTTACAAACACTTGGAATGCAAAAATTGATTTTAAAATAATAAAATATAATGGGGTTTCATTTCACCAAATCATCTTCTCATACTTACAAACAAGCTTTAATACAGTTATAAGTTTAGAAATTACCATTCAACTCACAAATATACTTAAACTTTAATTCCTTACAAGTTAGAGTCTAAGTTTCATTAAGTTATCAATTCTTTGCATAATTTAACCAAAAATCCAGCTTTAAGAACAAGTTATGAATGACTAATATCATTTACTCTATTCCTAGAGATAAACACTATTAGCTTCTCTACTTTAGTTTAAAAGTTAACAAGCATTTTCCTGTCGCTTTAAACCCACAAAATCAAGTTAAGGGTGATTTAAATCATAACAAGCATTAAGCAAAAAGAGAATAATAATACTGAATAA